CCTCGATCGGCGAGCGACGAGCAACGGTTGCCTCTTTCCCGGTGGGAGACACTTGTCGCGTTCCGTGGCCTTTGTTGACCGTGTTGGCGAAAAAAGCCTTGCTCGGGACCAGAAAAATCCGAGTGAATTTTCCGGTGCAAGACCACCGGGTCCCATAAGAGGCAATTTCTCTTCAGGAAAGGGGAGGAGGGGGTACATGCATAAGACAGGTTTAATACAGCTCGGTCGGTAAGATATTCATACGTTTTTATCCCGCTAGACCGTGGTCTCGTTTCTCGCGAAAAATCGACATCGGGCGGGGCGCGAGGCTCGGCGTCGTCGAAGGAAACGAGAGAAAAATAAGGTTGGCCAGAAATAAAGTTCGGGTAAATAAGATCGCGCGCGAAAATAAATAAAAGGCGACCACGGCCGATTTAATTTGGAAAAACGAATCCACGGGGCCGGATCCACTCATTGGACACGTATCGTTTTCTTCTCTTTTATCTCCCAACCCAGAAGGAGATGGAGGGGAGAGGGATCGATTGGTTAATGAATTTCACTACCACTGAAGAAGGGCGATTCGTATTTCTATTTTTTTTTTTTTTCGAAACGAACGTTCGAATTTGCAGTGTCGCAATTTGCTTCGCGAGACGAGCAGATCGAAATTTAAATTCGTCCGTTAAAATGGTTCGGTGGAACGCAATTATATTCTGTTTAAAGGGAAAGCGTATGGAGCGTTGGTATTAAATTTAAAGCGGGAGGACCACCGTTGCCGCGAGGTCTCGATTATAATTCACGAAGGGTAAACCCGGTAAATCGTTTCTATTTTAGAACGGTTGCCAGGAGGACGATGTTGCGCATTTATTTATCGTCCGTTGTTGTAACGGCCCGACTTATTCATGAATTATCACACTTTTTTCTCCCCAACGAATTTTTCCCCGAGTAACAGGTTGGAGGGTTGGCTCGATTCAACTCGGCGCGACAAACTTTCGTCCGTGTAAGGGAAAAAATCTGCGCGCGGATACGGAAACGGAGAAAATTTCGAAACGGAACCCAATTTCGAGATCTTCTTTCTGCTCGATAAGTTTTCCATCCGTTTTACGGTCAACGAGCTCGAATCCGGATCGAAAGGAAGGAGGTAAGTTCGATCGAAGAGGGGCGGTTACGAGGATCGATGCGGTCGTATAGCTCGGTTTTTATGGAGTTTCCTCTTTTTTTTTTTTTTTTTTTTACGATAGAGCCGCTCGCGGAATATACATCGTTTCGAGGCGTGTGCACACGCGATGGGACGCTTTCCAGCGAATTGTTTCGTTTTCTCTTTATTCCCCTCTTTTTTCCTTTCTTCTTTTTCTTTTTCTCTTTTTCTCTTCTTCTTTTTTTTTTTTTTCGGCCGCGTTCGTTGTCCTCGTGCATTGGATCGGTCCTTCTGATTGTGACAGCGTTGTCGTCCTTTGTCGATTTCGAGAATGAAAACGCGACGTCGCGTTCCAACCTAGCAATCGGCCGTTGTTTATCGCTTCTCATCCTCTCGCCGGCCGGAAACTGGCGGAAAGCTATTTTCACGGGAGGAGAGAGAGAGAGAGAGAGAGAGAGAGAAGTGACTTGTCTCGAAACGACTCGCTGGAATGCAATAAGAGAGCGAAGGAACCGTAGACGAAGCAACTCTTCTTCGCCAGCTATGAAAATTTCTATTGGCTTTCTTCGAGGGTTCTTTCGTCGCGACTTTCGACGACGACCTTACCCCTCGTGTGCCACGACCCGGAGAATCCGTCTATGAACTTTCTCCAAGGGAAGAATCTTTTGTTTCGAATCGGTCGTTTCGCGAACGGGCGCATTTACCTTCCCTTTGTCTCGCGACGAGATTCAGCGCCATTGTCGGATACTTGGAGATCTTGGGACTTAATCGTCCCGCGCGATCGTCGTCCATTTATCGTTGTTGCTGGGTACAGTGGCACGCTGCGCAAACGGGACGGGATCGATGGTAACAAAAGAAAATTTCGTCACACCTACCTGGTCGGCGTTTAGAAACGCAAGAGAAAAAAAAGAAAGAGAAAAAAAAAAAA